GTGAGGTGTGGACAATTAAGTGAGAGCGATCAGTTCCCATCCTTATTGTGCTCAGAGTACTCAGTATTTTATCCACTTGCCAGGAGAAGTACTAGGTTTAGTAAAAGTATATGCAAGGAGTAACTAGCATTAATGTGTTACCTGTTCTGAAGTGGGAAGGGGAGCTAACCAGGCACAGCAAGGTGACTTAACTTTCTTTTTTATAAAATACAACTTTAGCGAGCCTGATATAACAAGCACTTGTGTTATCTAGCATTAATGTTTTAGGACATGGTAAAGTTGGAAGTAAAATTTTACTACAGCACTTGCAAGTTTGGTTTGGAAAAGCAGATTAAAATGGCAATTGACTTCTTTTTGGTTAATTAACAGGATTGATTAACACGTGATCCCTTTACTTTTGTCTGGGAAGAAGGTTGATACTATCCCAGTTTAGATTTAATTTGAGAGATTTATCATAGAAAAAAATAACATGGGCCAGGCATAGTAGCTCAAGCCTGTAATCCCAGCACTTTGGAAGGCCGAGGTGAGGAAGAGCATCCTCCATCTCCTTGACCCACCTGACCCACACGAGTGAGAGAGAGCATCCTCCATCTCCTTGGCCCACCTGAGACAGCAACTTAGCCAGTGAGGGCCCCCGTGCTAGGGCTGTTCCAATTTTTGCGTTTGGGAGGCTTGGTACCAAGTCTTTTCCACAGAGGGTCCCGGACCCCAGCAACATGCTTCCCAAAGCAATGAGAAAAGAAAAAAAAAAAAAAAGAGCAGCCTCTCAGAGTGGCTTCCAGGACCTTCCTCCTTATCACATAAACAATAGGACTCACTGGTGATGTTACTTCGTACCAAACAAGGTGGAGGCGACAGGAAGAGGTCCATTCAATGTTGCTTGTCATGGACGATAAGATTAAAAGAGAAAAGATAGCCAAACACCTTATCTCTCTCCAGAGAGACTAGGGTTGGAAAAAGAGTGAGAGAGAGTGGCAGATCTCAGTGGAAGAAGAGAATGAGAGCAAGCGAGAGAGCAGCACGTCTCAGTGAACCTCCAAACATGTTAGGGCACACACTCAGCAGGGCCTCCAGAATGTTAGGTTAGGCCTGCCCGGGGTGTGGGTCCCTGGTGTGTGATTCAATGCCATGTGAAAGATGCAAACAATTGCATAGAAGTTAGATCAGAAAACATAGTTTATTTAAAAAGTAAATTAGAGAGAAAAAAAGAGGAGATTCACCTCCCCAAGGTAGGGAAGGGGAACAAAGCCAGGAAACGTGACAGCCATAGCTCAACCAGCACATGGCCATGCCAGAGTCTAGTAAGGCAATGGCCTCTATTTTTTAACTTCTTAAGCTGGAGACTTAGTTTATATTAATTTATATGGTTTTTTTTTTTTTTTTTTTGAGTTGGAGCCTCACTCCATCGCCCAGGCTGAATTGCAGTGGCACACTCACTGCCACCCCAGCGTTGACACGCTGGGTTACGGCCATCCTTCTGCCTCAGCCTTCGAAGTAGCCCCAACTACAGATGTGCACTACCATGCCCGGCTAATTTTTTTATTTATTGTAGAGATGGGGTCTCGTCAAGTTGCCCAGGTTGTTCTTGAACCCATGGACTCAGGCAATCCCCTCACCCTGGCCTCCCAAAGTCCTGGGATTACAGGCTTGAGCCACCATGCCCAGCCAATCTCTAGTAATACTTTTAATCTTTTTTTTATCAATATTTTTTATTGTAGTTTTGTGGGGTACAGTTAAGGGTTAGGTGTACAATTACGTTTCATTCAGGCACCCTGTTGATAAGAGGTGTTTCCCCATCCCGATATTTGCTACTGTTAATCCCATCCCCCCCCTCATAGTTTCCCAGTACTGTCAGTCATTTTCTTATAGTATTACATTGGATGTTCAAGGTCCATTATATGAGTGAGAACATGTGATACTCGGATCTTTGTTTCTGTGAGAGGTCACTCAGTATTATAGACTCTAGTTCCATCCAGGTTGCTGCGAAATTCATGATTTTGTTCTTTTTTATGGCTGCGTAGTATTCCATTGTGTATATGTACCACATTTTTTTAATCCAGTCCTCTTTTGATGGGCAGCATGGTTGTTTCCAGGTTCTTGCTATTGTGAACACTGCGATAAACATACATGTGCAGGTATCTTTTTTATAGAGTGATTTGAGTTCTTCAGGGTATATTCCCAGTAGGGGGATTGCAGGGTCATATGGGAGGTTGATATTTACAGCTTTTAGGAATCGCCACACTGCTTTCCACAAAGGTTGCACTAGTTTACACTCCCACCAACAGTGTAGAAGTGTTCCCTTTTCACCACACCCTCTCCAGCAGCTGTTATTTTTTGACTTGTTGATAATTGCCATTCTGACTGGAGTTAGGTGGTATCTCAGTGTGGTTTTGATTTGCATCTCCCTGATGATTAGTGAGGTTGAACATTTCTTCATGTGTTTGTTGGCTGCTCAGATGTCCTCTTTTGTGAAGTGTCTGTTCATATCTTTTGCCCATTTTATAATGGGGTTGTTTGTTTTTTTCTTTTCAGCACGTCTTAGTTCCGTAGATCCAGGATGTTAAGCCTTTGTCAGACCTGGTGTCGGCAAATATTTTTTCCCAGTCTGTAGGCTGTCTCCCCGCTCTCTTGATGGTTTCTTTGGCCTTGCAGAAGCTTGTCAATTTAATAAGGTCCCACTTGTCTATCTTCTCTCTTATGACCTGTGGGTTTCAGGTTTTGTTCAGGAATTGGATGCCAGTTTCCTTCATTTTCTAAGGTTCTTATGGTTTGAGGTTTTACATCTAGGTCTCTGATCCATTTGGAGTTAACCTTTGTGCATGGGGATAGATAGGGGTCCTGTTTCAATCTTCTGCATGTGGTCAGCCAGTTTTCCCAGCACCATTTACTGAATAGGAGAATACTTTTAATCTTAAACTCTATTTTGCTTGTTTATATAGGCATTCTAGATTTAGTTAGGAACTTGCTTTGTATATCTTTTTTAATTGCTTTCTTCAACCCCTTGGTTTTAAAAAATATTTTAAATGTGTCTACTGTCAATAGTATAGTGCTGAAATATGTTTGGGGAGCAGTATAGACATAATGGTAAAAAGCACTGATTCAAGTCAGACTGCTCAGATTTGAATTTTGGCACCACCACTCACTAGCTCCATCTCCACAGGCAAGTTTCTGTTCCTCCATTCCCTCCTCTGCAAGACAGAGACAGTTATACAATATTTACCTTAGTTAGATTGTGATGATGAAATATAAGTCAATACAATCACAAATCACTAACAACAATGCCTAACATATTGTAAACATTGGCTATTTAAAAAATCTTACAGTCAGTATTTTTAGACTGGCAAATGGAGTCTATTCACATTTATTATGGGTAGGAATATTATAAAACTTAGTCCCACCTTGTTTTGTTTTGCTATTTGTCCTATTATTGTATAATTTTTTTTTTTTGAGTTGGAGTCTCACTCTGTCACCCAGACTGGAGTGCAGTGGCCACTCCCAGCCACCGCAGCCTCGACCTGCTGGGCTCTGGCGATCCTTCTGCCTCAGCCTTCCAAGTAGCTGGTATTTCTAATACCTGTGACTTAAAACAACAGCAAATTCATGATGAAAATTATAACAGAAAATTAATGATTCAGTAGGCCAAGAATTAGATCTGTAATACAGCTCATGGCAATTTCTCAAGTAAGATTTCACCAAATAGTACTGTTTGTATTTAATACACTCTCACATTCATTTCTTATAATTATAAATTTTTAAGTTTTAGTAGGGATAACTTGTTTTTTTCAGGCCAGCTACTTTTGATATCATCAATTATTTAGCAAGGGTCAAATAATTTAAACATTAAATTACTTTAAAATGAATTCCCAGTATTCGTATTTTTCATAGAAAAAGAATGCTTCTTTTGAGAAAATAAAAATATAAACTAAACAAAGCCCAATATAAAACCCAATAAAATAACAGGCAGTATGGAAATCAGATTGAGTCTTACTAGGCATGCATGCACATGTATGAATTTACACACATACACGCATATGTATTCTGCAGGAGAGGAAGCAATAGCAGAAATACATGTAAAGAGAGTGTAAAATGTACTCTAGAGAAATAAAGCACAGGATATATACATTATAAGGGCAGAGTCAATTTTATCAGTTAAAATTTTATTAGCAATATATCACAGGACTGGTTTACAGATGGTGTGGCAATGGTAGCAAAAAGTGGCAGGAAGGAACTCGACACTCATCATGTCTAATAAATAAATCTTAGTGACTCATTAAATATTGATACGATGAAGAATAAAAAATTCCAACACTTCTAAGATCTTTAACTGATATCTTTTAGATAAAGCCCAAATATTCTGGGTAGGTAACAAACTGCCTGCTGATACCATACCTTAAAGAAATTACCTTGGAAAATTAATGATTTCACTGTCTACAAAATTTCACAAATCCAAATATGGTCTCCAATAATAACAGAAAATGTTAGTCTACTATCTTTCTATCTTTATGGCTGCTCTTTAAATCTTCAAATATTTTTCACAACTAGATGATATATATCCAGACCCTAACAAGTTTACAAACGTTGTAAATATGATCCGTTTTCTTTTCAATCATCTTAATAATGTGGTTATTTAACAATGTGTTTGTGTGTAAAATGATTTACTAAAATATTTAGATTTCTTATATGAGAATTAAGTAAGTATTACCATCCCTTATCTCAGAAAATCAGTCTTGATGTAGGGCTCTAGAAGTAATGAGTAGTACTATAGGTCACTTCTGTCATGTAGTCATAGGCAGAGGAAAAGTAACAAAAAGATGAATGTCAGTTTTACAGTAACTAAACACATGACACCTAAAATATGAATCTAAAGATAATCACATATTCCAATTATTTATTCAATGTATGTGTCCTTTAGAGCTCACTGTATGTCTTTTGTTCTATATCTATATCTTTGATGGGAGTTGCTTCATTTGATTTCGCATTAAGGCAAAAGACAAGACATCTTTTCTTTTCCTTGGTTTTAATTAGTCACAAATTCATCTAAGACGACAGAAAATTATGCTCATTTCATAAAAGGGTTACATCAATATTAGGACAATTGTTTTTTCTTCTGACAAATCTGTGCTGTGTTTATATTAGCTAAATGTTTAAAAATACTAATCCTGAGCAAGAGTAAAAATAAGAACAGTTTTGACTAAAGAATAAATTCCTTCATTGTTAAACCTAAACAGCTTTAAATTTTAACCATGGAACGTAGTCAGTAAGACTGGATTTCAGACTTCTGATGTCCATGGCAAACCTGAATACTCTGAGCAGAAATAAAACACACATAATAGATAATACACAAGAGTAAAAAGCATCAGAAATTGATGCACCTGGATTTTGTTAAATATAACAAAGGTCACTCAGTCCTTCATGGATAAACCTAGCTGGGAGAACAGAACTGAACAGTGTATTGCATTGAGCAGAAATCCCTCAGAAAGGCAACACTGGATTCCTTTTTAGAGAGGCATAGACTTTTTTCAAAACATTCAAGTACATAAAAGACACACTGGGAAATACAATATAAATCTTGTTTCCATGAAAGCAAAAAGTTCTGGCCACTTTGGTAACTGAAGTAAGTCACTTGAGTTTTTAGTTATAGCTACCTCCCAATGAAAAATAAGAGCTCATTACCCAGCAAAGCAGCATTGTGACAAAGTATTTATACACCAGTGAAGGATTTAAGTAAGGGCTTTGCAACAGGGGTCAACTCAAGCCTTGGTTTAAGAATAATTTTCTAGTTCATGTGGTAAAAGTGCATAGGAGTGGGAAACTGCCAACACAGCAAGGATCCTCTCACAGTATTAAGGCCTGTTCATGTGGGAATGGTCAACTGAAAATCAGTATGGTGACCATTAGGCAATGATTTCTGCCCTCTGGGCTTCTTCAATATGATTTTTCTTTTATTCAAAGGGTCGCTCTTCCTCTTCATCGGCTTCTTCAATGACCTGAATCTCATCTGCTTGAGGTAAGGAGGAATTCTCCACCTGCAGTTTATTCCCATCAACTTTACATTTTTCTTCTTCTTCGATGATTTCCTTCCATATCTTGTGATTTTCGGCGAGGTGATGCATTAGCTGACAAAATATTCGCCGTCTGCTTTTCCTTCTTGGTGGTTCTGTGGAATTTAAAACAAATGCATTCTAATCATAGCACTATGATTTAATCCTTCATTCAATAAATATCTAAGTGCCTACTATATTCTAGCTACTTAGCTAAGCACTTGAGTTATAATAGCAAACAGTATTTAAAATAATATAAAAAAATAAAATAAAATAGTATTGTAAAAACAATCTCCACACTATGGAGCTCACATTCTAGTGAAAAGACCTAGACAAACAGACAAACAAAAAACCAAAATAAGAATATGTTAGATGGTATTATGTGTTATGGATAAAAATAAAACAGAGAAGTGGTTTAGGGTATGTAAGGGAGGAAAGGATAGTGCTGAAATTGCAAATGAAATTATAACTATCCAAAGTTAAAAACCAACCTTTTAAGAGTATATGTATTAAAATAACACAATTACCAACATTTTGACGAACATAATTTTTAGAAGTCAGTCAACCTTTCCAAGTTGATAATCAGATGCTCAAACGTTCTTTGAAGTAATCCTATCTGTTCTGATTTATAGCATGCTTGAAAATAAAAAAAGTACTCAGCCAGCTATAATTTAAATTCTACTTTAAAATAAAGAGCAAATCATTGATTTCATTCACAATTACAAAGATTCCGTTTTTTTCTCCCCATTTTTCATGTATACTCATTGTCTTATATAAAAAATGTTACTACAGTTTGGAAACTCAAATTCATAATGCCACAAAACTTGGTTCTATGCTTTCCTTTTCTCCCTATTGTTCTGACCCATTTCCCAAGGCTATGTGAAATGTAGATGAGCATATTTCTTTGGCAGCTGTGCTCCTTGGCTGCCTGGTGGGGTTGAGAGTGAGGTGTGTGAGGAGGGTTGAGGTCAAGGAGGACAAGCCACTAGGACTCACCCACCTCACACATGTTCAGATGTGGTGACAGCCCTTCGTGCATGCATAGATGGAGCCTGCTGAAGAGTACTGGCTGGAGGACACCAACTCAAGATGTTACTTATGAGAATAAGAATGCTTGCTTGCTATGTGACAGTATTAGCACAGTACCCAGCACAGAGCTATTGCTCAAAACATGGCAACTGAATCTGAATATTTAGATTACAGTTACTCAGGATATGACTGCTGAATCTGTATCTAAAAAACAAAGATCCAAATTCAAATTAAATAGACATTTGCAGTTAATTAAGGTTAAGTATCCCTTATCTGAAATGCTTGAGACTAGAAGTGTTTCAGATTTTGTAACATTTATATCTGAAATATTCATATTAAACATCCCTAATCCAAAAATCCAAAATGTTAAATGCTCCAATGAGTATTTCCTTTAAGCATCATGTTGGTATTCAAAAAGTTTTGGATTTTTGAGCATTCTGCATTTCAGATTTGGTACATTCAACTTGTAACATTAATACATTGTAGCATCCCTGGATTCTTACTGGGATTTAGATTGTCTTCTATTTCTTCATTGTCTGTATCTAATTCTTCACCATCTTCATCGTCACCACTTTCAGTCTCATCATCCTCTTCTGCTTCTATCCACTGACCCGGTAGCAAACCAGCAGCATCATAGGAGTTACACAGGGGACCCACTATGTGGGTGATAAAAGACTCTTGGAGTTTTGCTAGTTGAGGAGAAGAACGATCCATGAAGGGACTGATAGGCAGACCAAGATTTGCTTCTTCATCTCCCTGAGCATTTTAAAAAAGAAAACTACGGGTTTAACAGTTGAAAGAAAAACCTCTGAACTTTGCTGTTAAAACTATTGAGAGCACCCATGCCATAAGAGATAAGATAGACAAGTGGGACCTCATCAAACTGGTAAGTTTCTGCAAAGCCAAAGAAACCACCAAGAGAGCAAGAAGGCCAGGCTCGGTGGCTCAGCCTGTAATCCCAGCACTTTGGGAGGCCGAGGTGAGTGGATTGCCTGAGCCTGCAGGTTCGAGAGCTGCCTGGGGAACTTGGCGAGACCTCACCTCTACAATAAATCAAAAATCAGCCGGGCTTGGTAGTGCACACCTGTAGTTCCAGCTACTGGGAAGGCTGAGGCAGAAGGATCGCTGGAGCCAAGCAGGTCGAGGCCGCGGTGGCCGGGAGTGGCCACTGCACTCTAGTCTGGGCGACAGAGTGAGACTCCAACTCA